TAGTAAAGTGGTTTTGGTGTTACTTTGGACATTCTGTCCAGTGCCCATGCTTTGTGTATTCTTAATTATACTGTTTTGCATGTTTAGGCCACCCACTTTGTCTCTTGTTGATATCTAACTTATTTTAAAGTGTTCTCTAACTTGGTGTTGGTTTGCATTTTCTTTTCCACACCAGAGATACCTTCTCTGTGGAGTTTGTTTCTCCTCTCCTGGGCTTCTTTCGAGTTGTCACTACATTCAGATAGTGCTTGTTCACAAGGACAGGCCTGTTCATAGGGAGCATTTAAAAGTTTGTTTCGTGCCTGGCCCTGACTTGTGTGTGTGTGTTGGTACTTTGCACCTTCAGTCGGATGTGCTCTTTGGTCATGTTAAGTGAATCTTTATCCATTATATTGTACACCTTTCTTTGTTCCTTAACTGATATGGTTTTGATTTGATCGGCTAGTCGAGTTGTTTTATCTCCTCTCCAGTTGAGATTCTACCTCCCGTGTTGGCAGTTTTCCTTTGAGTTTCTTGCCTCATATGGCTTCGTGGCCTTCATTACCCCTGTTGGTGTCGGGGGTCTCCTCCCTGGTTTTTTGGAGTGTATAATAGTTCCCTGTGGTTTTCTGGCCTGTAAGCTCTACCATATCTAGCATGGAACCTAGCTGGTTTCCTGCAACCATCTACGGTTTGCCCTGTTTTCTTAGCTTTTATTTCCTATCACAGTGCAGTAGTTGTTTGTTTTGTTCTACCATAAAGTACTTTATAGGTATCTTTTCTTGATGAACAAACGCAATTCTAACGCTGGTTTTGATAGGCCTGTGCAAGTAATGTTCTGGAGTGTTGGTACACTATATCTCTGGTACCATAGTAACTAGGAAGTTACCAAGTTAGTTACTCTTTGAAAGGTTTTTCATTATTCGTGATGGGTTTATATTTGAAAAATGTCAAAACTGCAAATTAGTGAAATTAAAATAGTAATGCTAGAAAGATGTCAGCGATTAGTATGTTTGAACATACTGTTCAAAACATACCAAAGCAGTATGCTTTCTTATGGAAATCGATTATGAAATTTGTATTTTCTCTGATTTTAAATACTTTTACATGTTATCTTGTGTGTGAATTATTTACTAACAACAAAATTTAATAGTTTTAATCCAATTTTATATCCAAACATTATGTAATCACACTTATCAACTGTTCAAATGAATCTGTAATGTTCTAAGTATTTATTGAAGAAATTGTATATCTTGTAAATGTTTACTTGTAACAGCATCTTGTCATAATCGTTTGTGTTATGAACCGACAGTTGCACCACTGCTGTTTCTATTCTTGCTTTTCACCGTCAATATTTGGTTTCATATTTAAATCTTTTGTTTTTCTGTAATGTATAATTGGTCAACTTGTCATTATTGCATGATACATTTTCTATCTACATTATAATTGTGGACTAATGAGCACATGAGTGAGTAATGATTGAGTGTGGACTAAATGATCACTTACATACAGTATTGAGCAAGGATTGTGCTTGGGTAATGTGAGGCTGTATAACAACAACATTCCATGTTTTAATCTGTCTTGTCTTATTTCATTAAGGCATTCATTGTTATTGCTTTTTGGGTTGTGTATGTTTTCTAGTCATGCAGTGTATTTTATATTCCCATAAAATCTTTATTCATTGTGTAAACAAAATAAAAAATGCATTTTATGGATTGTGTTAATCCCTACATGTTTATGGAGAATGAGCTTAAGCTCTTGGGCTTAGGCTCACCTCTCAGCTGTCCATTACATCATCTCTAAGCTAGTTTTACTATTATATCTACATTTGAAACTGTGAATGGGATTAGCATTCAATGATTTATACTCGTTCATACACTGAATGCTTCATTATGTCCCTCTGGTTATACAGTATTATACTAAATTGTGCAGAGATGAGGCATTATTATTATTATAGATGACTGTTTCAGGATCTTTAATGTTCAAAAATATTGTGTACCATACTGGTTGTTGACAAGCCCAAGCACCTAACCTTGGGCAAACATTTCATCTATCTTCCAGTGTAAAAGAAAATCTAGGTAGGCATTATTGTCCAAAAAATGTCATCCTAACTTCGTAATGAAATGAGAACAAATTAACAAAAATCATGAGGTGCATCTTATAAGAGTAGTTTCTAAAACGTCGCCGACACACCTAACCGGTGCTCAATCACACAACTCCGCCTGTCGCACATTTTTAGGAATTCCAAGTAGTAGAATTCCAAATATGAGTAGATCCAAAATGGATCTACTCATATTTGGTCCACCAAGATGTTTGCTTCAACAATCAATTCAGACATAGTGTGACTGTGTGGTACCTAATTTCCAGCTATTTGAATACTCTTAACACTTTCCTGGATTTTCGACTTGGAATTACGGGCGTTTTCCCTAACTGCTTGTCGGATCACGACGTAAATTTACGGTGCAGTTTAAAATATTTGTAAAAAATCCAGTTTAAATCCGATTTACTTGGGGTTTGTTTCAAACTCCGCTCCATGAAATTCCCGTTCTCTCGGGTAGGCCGCAAGTCACGTCGGCCTACTGGGTCACGTGACAGACCGTGACCCAGTGATCCGTCACGTGATCGGATATCTCTCCCCTCGGCCGCCATACTTGCACGTTTTCAAGGATTATTACCCGTTTGTGTGTGTTTATAACCCACTAAATTCATCAATAATGGATCCAGCACCAGGCCCCAAGCGGTGTTTCGGCTACAGGAGCCTCAGAATCAAGTGGAAAAGACAGGATTACCGCCATCTATAGGAGGTTTGCTGGTATGAGGCTCACTCCCACCAAGATTCCCAATGTCTTGGATGCCTTTGATCAAGCTGAAAATGAACGAAGTGATGCAGAAGGTGAGGATGTAGAAGAAGAATTTGAAATTGGGGGCCGTAGACCCCTTGGGGATGACTCAACAGAGGATGAGACTGAAAGCCAAACTGAGGAGGAGGAGGAGGGGGCGAGTTGCGGGTGACAAGCGAGTTGTCTCTATGATTACCAACCTACACAATGCAGACACAAAGAAAGTTCAGAAAAGAAAACGAGTTTGCAGGGCAGATGGAACAGTAAGACTACAGCAGGTTGTGGTGAACAAACCACAGGCAATTGTTGACTACAATAAGTTCATGAAGGGTGTTGACCACTTTGATCAAATGGTAAAGTATTACCATTTCGCCAGGAAATGTCACAAGTGGACCAAGAAAATAACATTTTATTTCTTGCAAATGGCATTGCAAAACGCTTATGTATTGTACAAGGCCAACACAGATGATCGAAGGAAACTAACTCTGCTCCAGTTCCATGAAGTTGCTATTTGGTCTTTATTGAAATTTGACAAGGCAGAGTGGCCTGCAACAACTACACCATCTCCACATCTAGTTCATGCTCCAGACATAAATGTTGACACTGGTCCTGTGTATCCTGCTGCTGACCCGTCAACACCTGGCCCGTCGGGTGTGAGGCGCCCTCTCTTCACGTCTACACCTAGTGCTGAAGCTGAATCTGATGAAGATAATCCATATTCCACATTAGTGTTTGAAAACAATATTGAGAGCGACGATTCAGACAGTAGTTTATTGCCAACCCAGAGACAACAGCGACGTGTTGTTATAGCAGACTCGCCTGAACTATAAATTGAAACATGAGCTGGTAAAAATCCCCAAACGTCGCAGGTGTGAAGTGTGTGCAAAGTCGGGTATCAGGAAGGAAACTGGTATAGCGTGCAAGACATGCGATGTTCCACTTTGCGTCATACCTTGTTACACCACTTATCACAGGAAAAGGGTGTATTGGGTGGACAAGAAATAACCACCCGCACCAGCTTCACTCCACCTAGGAACATCTGTTGAGCAACTTCAGGAATCAGTACCTGAAGGAGGTGGAGTGGAGATAAAATGCTCAACTTATTTTACTACAATCGTCTTTGCTTTGGTAAGTACATATAATTGTCTTAGATTGTTTCAGTATTGTAGTCTATTTTCTTAGGAATATTTTGATACCTAAATGAGAACTGTAGCACGAAAACTAAAGTAAGTATACACGAAACAAGAGAAACTTTTTTTGTGGGTGTTGCGGGTGAGAGTTGGAGTGTCAAGAGCGGGTTCTGGTTGTGTGTTTTCCGTCATCTCTACAGCTGTGAATTCCAAGGAATTGTATTTGATATGCATATGTCTGTGTAGGGAATTTTATTCCGAACACTATACAAAAAAAAAAAAAACGGTGTGAAACAAGTATAAACTTGAAAAACATGAGCAAAGTAAAAACGTTTGACGCTCACGGGTGCAAACACGCGTAAGATTTTATTCACCGCAAATTTATTTGACGCTGTGTTGGCCAACTCTACCCATGTTCTTATAGAACTTTCTATTGCGAACACATTGCTATAAAAATGAAATACGTAGCTCCACAAATAATGTCAGGACAGTGAAATAAGTATAAACATTCAAGCGCTGCATCACACCAGTGTCGTCGCTGCTGAAATCACGGCTAACGCTTCGCCCAGTTCCCACACTCGTGCGGGTCACCCGATACCATAATTAGACATTGATAGGCATATGTCTGGATGGGGAATTTTATTGCGAGTTCAGTGATATCAAAATGAGCGCTGTAGGATGACTGCGAGGCTGGCAACAAACGAAAGAGTATGAACATTTACTTCCTGTTTGGGTGTCACGGCGAGTCATCTTCGTGTTTATTTACTTCGTGGTGGGATACCAAATGCTTGGGTGACATTTTATGCATATGATCTTGTAGAGAATTTCATTGCCAACGCATTGATACCAAAATGAAAAACGTAGCTCGAGAATTGATGTTAGGAGCGTGAAAAGATTATAAACTTTTTTGTGTTTACGCTTGAGCGCCCAGAACGCCGCGCGCACAACCCGCTTTTTTTTCGAGCTAGTGCCGCGCGCACTAAAGTGTTAAGATATTATACATAGGTACACTATTTTAGTTTGTACACCACAGGATGATTAAAAATGCTGATACTGTCTTAAATATATATATAAAATATTAAATTGGAGAAGCAAATTTACTTGCAAATATTGAGAATATTGCTTAAGAAAAATTGTTTAGGATGCTTAGTGATACATACTGTATACAAAATGTCCATTATCAGTAAATAGATTTTATACAAAATTACAATATTAATAGAACAATTATTTTTTTTTAAAGCCATGAGCATAGCACATCCTGTTAAAATTCTGACATGCTATGTTATAAAATAAGCAGAAAATGTATAATTTTGTTAATTTGAATTTTTTCAAATTGTTGCAGCAGGTTATTTATACAAGCATAAAACTTACAATCAACCTAACTACCTCCTGAAACAAAATTTAAAAATTTCCTGCTCTTCCAATATTTAAAAATGTATTCTATAACCAGTCAAAATATTTATTGTGCTATGAAAATACTGTGGTAATTTATAAGTACATTATAATACCGAGAGACACAGCTACTATAAAAATATGATAATTTACTGTACTGTACAGAGACTTATAAATATAAATATCTTAAATAATGAGATGTGAAAGACATTGATTCTATGACACACAAGAACTTCTATTTTCATTTTTCTAATTTTGGATATCTTGAATATCCGATCTGACAATACAAAGTAAATTCCCCCAAAGCACTAAATTAATAGTAAAGTGAAGGACAGACATGATTTGTTTAAGTGCTCAAGTTAATTTACATAGCTCAAAGTTGTTTCATTTAAAGCTGAAGCACATTATTGATGAGATTATCCAAAAGGGGTAAAAATCTGTTGATAGAAATCATATTTTTGTGTTCAGATTACAGTATAAATGATTTTATAGTGTACTTGTACAGTATAACACTGCAGTTATTCAAGAAAAACAGCTTTTTGTCTTAAATGTGCTGCATAAATTGAACAACAAATTTGAAAAATGGGGTTACATTCTCAGATATGTATGAAGTTATACATTATAGGAAGACCTTCACTTGAATTAGTATGCATGGGTGGGTAAGAGTCGGTGGGTGTGTAAGTACCTAAGTGAAGTTACAGGATGAGAACTATGCTCATGGTGTCCTAACGACCCATGTACTCGCCTAATTGTGCTTGCAGGGGTTGAGCTTTGGCTCTTTGGTCCCGCCTCTTGACTGTCAATCAACTGGTGGGTGTGTGTTTACAGGGAAGGAAGCCAAGTCCTCAGCTCTTTGCCAGAGCTAAAAGGTGAGCATATAGAGTGCGTGCTTTATAAAAATGAGTACAATATAAATTATTAGAAACTAAATGAAAACTTGTCATGTACAACAAAACATGCTATGTAAATGCATACAGTATTATATAAGGATCCACTGTATTTAATACACTACCTTAGAATAAAAAAGGAATGGGGGATATTTTGAAGATGTAAGTACACAAAACTGCATATTTAGCGCATACTTAACACGAATGTATACATGCTGTATACATATTTTTTCCATTATAAAAGATATATACAGTATCTAGTTTAATTTCAAATAATACAACAAAACTTTTGTATCTGCACATTTATAAAACATGCAAACCCATGATGATTATGTTCACTTGATTATATAAACTAATTGAAGCCAAGCCACCAATTAGTGGTTTGCACTCATATTAATGCAGAAATTTTCCTGCCTATCTTACCAGTATTCAAATAATCCAGAGACTATACAGAAATGGATTACTGATGCTGTTAACCTGACTAGACTATGTTACACCAAGATCTTCCATTTATCCATTCTATATCAATGATTCAACCACAGGACAGATAACCGAGAGCACTTAATTGAAATGGATACCAATCATCTAAACCAAGAAATGAAATGTTGCAAATCTAACAGAACACTACTATATGAATAGCTTTTATAGCAATTTTAAATTATTCACAACAACAAATACAAACAAAAAACGTCCCGCTGCCTCGAACACACATTTGTGTTATGTGCCATTCATGCAGATTACTGCAAATTACATGAATTTCAAATTTGATGAATGCTTTGGCTTAGTCAACCCTCAAAACATCGTCTCCTCTCATCTATTCCAGGGAGGGTTAGAGGCTGGGAAGCTTCAGTGTTTTTAGAAATTTGGGATGAATAAACAGCCTTATTGTATTGAAAATACATACAAGTGAATGAATGTCTGGCAATAATTGCCTGGCAGAATTCATACTACAATCATAAGGCAAATATGTATGAAAAACATTCACGTGATGAGCTCAAACTAAATACTATACTTACTTTTGTACAACCATTATTAACATCTCCGTAACAGCAATTTCAGTATTTCTCAGATTCTTTATATCTTCTAAATTTAGAACTCCTCATCTGTGACTAGATCTAGGTAAACATCAAAAGATTCTCGATTGCAACATCCCGCTGCCTTGAAGACATACTTGTGGAATGTGCCATCCACGCAGATTGCTGAAAAAAAGTTAACATTATGCATGTAACAAGGGTTACAATTCACTATGGTGTTCTTAAGTTGTCATCAGGACGTGGATGGCAAAAGAAAAGAGAAGACACCACGTTATTTCTTAAGTGAACATGGAAATATCCACATTTTAATGCTTAAAGTATGAAAAATCTTACCATATACCGTAGAGTTGGCTCCAAAGGCACAAACACAGGCACACTCGGGAGGCACTGTGAAGTTCGCAAGGGCCCACTGGGACTCCATGTACCCTCCCAAGAATCCAATTCGTGAAAACCTGTAAAAGAATACACTATGAAAGTCAAAGTGAAAATTAATAGCAAAGCCAGCAAAATCATCATCTGCAGCCTAGAAAAATTAAAGAAATGTTATGATTGGTTATGGTGAGAGGAATACCCTCTGTAGGCCCATGTTCCCAGGCAAAACAAACGAATGTTTTCTGTGGAGAACACAGTTTAACCTTTCAGATTATCAGAACCCATGACCAGAAGTCCCATTGCTTCTAGATCTTTAGGTCAGGAGAGTAGTTAGAGATGGCATATTTAGGATAGCAAGTCTTGAGACTGCATAGAAAGGATATGCTTTTCTTGACTGTACATATCATGGCTGTTAAATAAAGGCACTGTTGGTATTTTGGTAGATCTTAGGAATTTTCACTGGGTTATTTCATTCCTGTTTTACTGTTGGTTTTAGGTTAGTCTAATTATTTGATTCCCTGACTGTTACTTGTCTGTGTCCTTGTGTTATTTTTCCATTATAGCCAGACTGTCACATTATTAATTTATAGTTTTTTGTAAATAAATTATTTAGCTTTATTGATTGTTATTTTACTTCTTCTAGACGTATTCTATTCTAATCCATTCTAATTCAGTCAAGTTAAATGACTGCACGAGCCTGAATATAGACAAAGACAGTAACCACCTACGTTGAGCGACGATTCAGTTGTGTGTCCTTGAGGGCAAAGATGTGGATGGTGCCTTTGTCACTTGAGCAGCAAATGAACTCGCTGTCCCCACTGAAGTTAATGCTGTCCGATATTAGAAAAGAATAAATAATTTATACATACATAGCTCTTCTATATAACATCTACAATTTAGTTTTCATAATTAGATTGTCTGCTACTATAACAATAAATTGTATAATATTATACTAATGTCCAGCACTGTGCAAGAGGAAAGTGTATAAAACTCTTAATTAAAATGGAATTTACTGTGAATTACTAACTGCCTGGTAAAAGATCAGTGTGGTGACTCAGTTTTTTTTACAAAGAACCAATTTATTGGTTAATTAGGGAGGGGCTACTGTTTACTATTCTATGCAGTATTGTACTCATTTAGTGTCTGCAGCCAGATGCAATATATAGGAGTGTATGTACAGTACATGTGTGTATACACATACAAAGGATCTATCTGGAAAAAAAAAGACACTAAAATAAATCCCATAGAATGGGGGTGTCATGGCAGTTAGAGTATACACATTAATGGTGGCAAGAAATATTCTAGCATGGGTGAAAAATTTCCTAACAGTAAAATGACAGTAGTGATAAGAAGCAATGAATCAGACTGGAAGATTATTATTAGTGGTGTCATAAGGCCACTATGATTTATAGTACTGTACATCATATTTTGACGTTGGGATTTATAAGACAATGCGATGTGCTATTTGAGAGGACAGATTACAGCACTAGTACAATAAGTGTTCATTGTTCATATAAATTATCACTGTCTATATAAACTACCAACCTTATGATCCACACAAAGAAACAAATGACAATACAGAAGTTTGCAACTAGACCAGTACTGTACTATAATTGAGAAGGCTAAGCTATGAAGACACGCTATGGGAACACAAGCTCTCAATGCTAGAAGAGAGGATTAGAATGGGTATGATTAAATACAAGGTTCTAAGGGGAATAAACAAGGACAGAGAGGAAGTTGCAAACACAATCGATACCAAGGAAAATAAGCACGGACAGAAGAAGCTGTGAGCACAATCAAGTACAATAGTAGAAATATAAGGAAATTCTCATACACAGTACAGATGTCAGCAAGCAGAAAGCATTCAAGGAAGAGTTGCTGGAGCCACTTCAATCCACAACTTTATGTTCAAATATGGCAACTTGAATGTCACAGAATACAAAACAATGATAAGACGAGGAAAAAAAAATAGATGCCGCATAACATTAGGAAGAAAGGGATTGAGTCATAACCTCAAGAAAGAAATTGTGAAGTAGCTTTAGGAAGAAAGCAATTGAGGAAAAAGATAAAAAAATGGCTGAGGAATAAGAGATGCAGGGACCAGGAAGAAAAGTATTGAGGGACAAGACCAAGATGAAAAAGATTGAGAGAAGATAATACAGAAAAGGTGGGATAAAAACACGAGTTTCCCCACTTACCAGTATAAAGTGGCAGGATCAGAGCCTCTTCTCAATTCAGCCAAGAGCACTCTACGAGCAGTGTCAAACACCCTTATTAGAGTGCCTTTGTGGGATGCTGTAGCCAACAATGTGCCTTCACGGTTCACACTGAGGCAGGCAAGCTCACTTTTATGAGCTTGGACAGTGAGTGGGGCTTGAGAAACGGTCGACTCTGTTGTTAAAAGATCCTGAATAACAAGAGAAAGACATGTAAATGCCAGCAGTAGTAGTCAGTAATTCACTTTGCAAAATTTGTTTGTCTCTGGGTAATAAGTGTTATTTTCTAATTGCTTATGCCTTCACAGTATAGTAAATGGCTATTATTCACCTTAAACTTTGCTTTCACCTTTGCTTTAGACAGCTTAATTAAGAAAGACATCTTTAAAGTATCTGAAGGCTGCTGACTCGTGAAACAGTGCATCACAGCTATAGATAAGGAGTTGGTAACCTTCAAGACATCTTTCCTAAGCTGTCTAAGGTAAAGGTCAAAGCAAAGTTTAAGGTGAATAATAGCCATTTACTATACTGTAAAGGCATAAGCAATTAGGAAATAATTTATGTCTCTGGGTAATAAGTGTTGTGTTATATAGTGTACTGAAATATATAAATATTCTAAAATGTTCATGATATCAAGAAATTTATACACTATAGTACAGTACATGTATATGCATTCATTACACACAGAAATCACAATAGCGTGATGAATCAAATGAACAAATTAATAAGGCATCCTCTCGGACGTAGGTTTGAACCCTTGTCACGGCCCTTGTGGATTTGTTTATACGCATTCATAAAACTGAACTACTGTAAATGTCTTGGCAATACCAGTACAGGTGGCCCTTGTCCTGTATGACTGGATTAAACAAATTCAGAACTAAATACTTAGTCAATCTCAAAATTATCTTTGATTTTTGTGCACTTTTAGGATTACAGTACATTCTTGCATCATGGCACCTTCCAAGCATTTTCCACTTTATTATGCACTGTATTTGAGGCTGGAAAATTAATGGTTTATTTAATAATAGTATTTAGGTTTGTGTTTAACCAAGTGAAAATGCTCTCTTTTGGAGGTCTGAAATAAAGCTGTATTTTATACCACTAAAAGTTAACTTTAATCTTCAAGATTTTCAGGAATGCTGTTTCTCTACACTACAGCTCAATTTCATACTTTAAATTAAAATACTGTATGGAAAAACTCTAAGCAAGTACAGTATTACTATATACTATATTTAGTATATAGTGACAATACAATTTGATTCTAATTCCCATTGTCAGGGAGAGGAAGCCTGTATAGGCCTACTGAGGTGCCCCAAGGCCAACTACCAACCTTCCACAGGATGCAACCCAGTACTATATAAAAGCATGACAAACAGTATTTTCTTTATTTGCACATACCAAATATTTTATGCATTAACATACTATATAATCTCTCTTTCTCTCTCTCTATTTTATATTATATTATTATTTATATATATTATATATATATATATATATATATATATATATATATATATATATATTATATATTATATATATATATATGAGCAAAAGATTATATGCATAATCTTCTTTAAGAATTATTTGAGGAATGGTGCAAAGTGAATATCTCGGTACATTCATAAATTCAAACAATGTAAATAAATGTCTCAAACTACTGTTCGAGAACATGTACTTATTTATACTAAAATCTTTCCAAACACTTACCACTAGTTGAACAGCACCAAGTTTGTGGGCAGGAAAACATAATATATGTCTGTCAGCAGAAGGTAGTGGGGACACCTCACACAGTCCCAAGGGATTGTCCCGTGTTTCACAGGTAAAAAGTCGCCGAGGAGAATGTGGGAAAGAGAAGACATGTATCTGCCGTCGACAAACTACCACTAACCTGATAAGATAAAGTTTAGATGATAAAAAACAACTATACATGTATTCATGTAGTTGTGCTTCCAGGGGTTGAGCTTTGGCCCCGAGATGTAACATGTACAGTACAGTACTGTACTTATATCTTCAAGCAAACTCACAAAATACTGCATTGTTTAATTATACAATGTAGAACTTCCATTTAATTGTCAATATTATGCATGTTTGGATAAGCAAAACTTGGTCAAAATATAAGCTTTGAGTGTAGGTATATTAAAACGTTCTTCCCAAGCAAAACACTAGGTTGCTCACAAAAGAAAGATCTACTGTGTCTAATGGACAGAATAATGGAGTGTCAGGCAAAGTGGCACTGTAGTAACCATTACAAATTAGCCCTTGTGAAGATCATCCTGGTGCTAGGGAGCACTGGGGAATCCTCAGCCCAGATTGGAGTGACCTCCAAACAACCAATTCATAGAAGCTGAAAACCCATCCAAGCCCTTCTTGAAATCACAATGGAGTGCTTTCATTATAAGTTAGATAACCTGGCCACCTACCCATCCTGTCACCAGCAGGCAAAACCATACTCGCATAAGATTCTAAATGCTCTTCAATTACTGTACAGTACTAGTGATGCCAAGGAGGCCTTGAAGGAGTTTTAAGTTTCTATGAATACATTTTATGGAGGTCATTCTAAGCTGGATTCTTTAGGGCTTCTAGCACAAACAAAATCTCCAGACTACCATAACTGAAATATTCCTGGGCTGTAAATATTACCTTAAGGAGAAACCTAGCAGAAGAGATCAGAAACATTATTTCAAATATTAAGTGTGACCAATGTCATCTTACCTGTCTTTTCTCAATCTAACAGCCAGTACAGGAGCGGAGAATGTAAATTCAAGGACTAGCCTCGAGGTGCAGTCATCGTAAATTAAAACCGTGTTGTCTGCATATTTTGGGACAGCACCTCCACCCACCATTGCCAGCAAGTTGGTCCTGTGTAACATCTCACCATGGCTAACACTACCAACTAAACTCTCACCTTGTGTACAAAAAAAATAAAAAATAATCAAATACTAACCCAGTACAGTATAAGATCATTCCAGTTATTTACATTACTGATTCCAGTACCTGGTCCTGAACAAAACATATAACTGAGTATTTTAAGTTGGTACCCATGCATGGATTTTTTCCTATTTTGGCCATGAAGATTTTGCATAAAAAAAAAAAGATCAATATGGATTTCAGAATATATAACAATAAATATATATACCTGTATAGGAAAAATGTTATTCAAGATAAACTTTGAATTGATAGAATTTTGTTGAAACAATTTAACCAGACCTTAACTTACATAAATGTGCCTTCTCTGCCAAAGGTTCCACATTGTATATTCGAACCCCAGAGTCCATGCAACACATGAAGCAACCTGCAAAAGAATGTATTGTACAGTAGTAGGAGAAATTTACAGCTTTCATATGTGCACGATATATTGGGAAGGTGCAAAGGTCAGGAAGGGGTCAGTTGGTCATAACAAACAGTCAAGAGTTGCCTAATGAGCCGAATACATTACATACATACACCCAACACGTGGTTTAATTATAACTAATCAACCTTTTTTAAACCTATACTATTTGCTGATAACACTATTTTTATCTAATATAACCCTACCTACCAACCTGTTCTCTTTATATCATGTCACATTTTGATGTATATTTTACCCATAGCCAAAAATTGTCGTACTAGAAAATGGCAGCAACTCGCAAAATTGACAATTGTCCTGTTTTTTGTTTACGGGTTCTCTGGTTCGTTAGGATAGGGCACTCGAGTAGGACAGTTTCTTTATGTTGGGAATGCTTGTGAGAACGGGCTGAACCCAAATAACCTAAGTGATATGGTAAAGAATGAGTTACAAAAATCCCACTCATGGATGTAATGAAAAAGTTCACGTTAGAGCAGAATAGACCCCCATTACATCTTGTTTGAAAACAAATCATCTTACCAAACAGACTTTCAAATAAACAATGTAAACATTAAGAGTAAAAGTTAGGGAAGATACCTAGGCCTATACATAGACTTGGCTTCAGCACTCACAGTAAATGCTCTACAAGTCTCCAAAACAGATGGCATATTTTCAAAAATCAATGTCCCCAACTCTTCTTCTTCTCACACTATAGTACTAATTTATCATTATCTAACTTGCTGTATCTGTGCATGGGGGCTCAACCTTCACAAGCTACCTGAAACCCATAATCATCCAGTAAGAATCAGCCATCAGAACTAAAGAATAACAAACTGTCCTCTGACAATGTTCAGCCTCTCGTTTCAAATGTCTCACCATGCTAAACATTCACTTGCTAAACACATTCTTTTATAGTATTTACACTTACAAAGCCATATGTCTAAATACCAGATCTAGAACGTGTGTACTGTATTATAAAGAACCACCACCTTGACACAAAACTCCCGAATTAACTTCGATGAGGAGTAGATGTTTGGATATGTGTTCTACATCAGAACTGCTAGACTGGTGAGAAAGTGGTGGAGGCCAAGACCATCAGTAGTTTCAAAGTTTCAGTAGTAGTTTCATATGACAGTACTGGGAAGACGGGACACCACAAGCGTAGCTCTCATCCTGTAACTACACTTGGGTAATTACAGACACACATCCCCAGGAAGCAGCCCATAGCAGCTGTCTAACTTTCAGGTACCTATTTACTATTAGGTGAACAGGGACATCAGAGCTGTCAATCCCCCAAAGAACATACCATACAAACAATGAAGTACAGAACATAATTTCTTTAGCATAGAAATTGCTGAAGAAAATGTGCCAACACCTACCACCCCACCATGTGCTAACAGCTAACCTAGAACTTTACTACCTACAAATATAACTTCAATATAATTTCACATTATTGCCCCTTACCATATTTTTAATGCAGCATTTATGTTAAACTCTGATTTTATCATTATTAATATGAACTGCTAGTTTGAACACTGCCAACTACAGAAGCATGTTAATCATTCGCTTGGACCTCATTTTATATATGTTAATTAAACTATGATTGTATTCCTGAGATAAATTCTTTGTCCAGAGATGTTTCTTATTTTTTTGGTTGTGACCAAAAAATGGCAGCAGTGATAAAACCAGCCATGCTCTGCTATACCTAAAATTATTCTAATCTCACTAAACCTGACTTAATAAAAGTTGCAAAGCCTGTTTTTTTTATATTGCTTGGTATAGTGGGCAATAAACTTATCAATCTTTTACATGTTTGCCTCAAGAGCCGTATACATTCTGCTACATTCTGTTGTGCATAAGGATACCTAGGCTTAAGTTACATGACTAAAACTCTACTATTAAAACAAATTAAAACTTGCACATTCTTATTAATTGTTCTGCATTGCCATATAATTTGTTATACAGGTACAATAAAATGTAGAACAAAAAAATAAAAAAGTACCAGTACTAAGGATAAAAACTTGAAGGTAATTCTGAGCATGACGCCTTTACGAACCCTCACCGTGATCTTGATTGAAGCGCAGGCTGTGGACCTTTTCCCGCATCGCCATGTTATTTTTCAGCTGCATGGGCTCCTCCACTACTGACAAGACAAATACCTTTCTCCTCTACGGCACGTGCAGTTTGCATGAAGGTTTTCTCCTCCCGATGACTGCAAAAGACAACAGGTAATAAACCTTTGTCTCCCAGGGGGACTGGTCAAGTCGTATACTGCAATTTCGGATACCGGGCTAGAAACAACTTCGTTCACTGAGAAGTTTGTACATACAAACCATTCCGTTCGTATATGCGCTGGTTTGTGTTCGCTGTTGTTCTCGTCTGAATAAATACATGGCACTTGTTCATATAATTAGCGCTTCCATTATTAGAATTATTTATCCATTATTAGAATAAGGTGCAAACCATACCCCCTTACAGTTGAAATCTATTTATTTATATACAAGAAGGTACATTGGGTTGCGAGAGTACATAACATATATTAAGAGGTACATTGTAGCAAGATTTGAGATTAAAGGATTTAAGACAAACACGTTTAGAAACAAGGCGCCCCCGAAGGAGGCTATTATTTGTTATGCACCCCATACTCAACCAGTAAGTAGTGGAGCAAAACATAGATTACATGGTCATAAAGTCTTAATCAGACCAATTCAATTCAATTTCTTTCTTTATTATGCACCCCATACCCATCCCGTGGGCGGTGGTGTAAAGGATTACAGAGGCACATAATCGGTTCAGGAACTGAACCTTGTAGTTCGTTTAGCTAAGCAAATATCAATTTGTGACGCTAGTTACAAAATTATTAATATTATATATACATGTACACACTCTCATACATACATGTACATATATATATATATATATATATATATATATATATATATATATATATATATATATATATATATATATTAGTATATTTTGGTAGCAGTCTTTCCTGTAGACATATATTATTAAATATGACCGAAAAAGTAAGATTAATAATTCTAACACGAATTTTCTCAATCTTTCGTACACTACGCTTCACTGTTGGAGGTAAATCAAAAATCACTTCTCCAAAATTCATTTTTATTTCTAGTCTGACGCGACACGGGCGCGTTTCGTAAAACTTATTCCATTTTCAAAGACTTCACAAATACACAACTGATTAGAACTTACGTATCTCTGAGTTTATATCTACATTTGAGTGAGGTGGGAAGGGTGATGTGGCATTAGAACAAGATGGGATATTAATAGGGTATTAAAAGTATCAACACAAGACAGAACAGAAACAATGGGTATTGAATAGAAGTGTTTGTAGAAAGCCTATTGGTCCATATTTCTTGATGCTTCTATATTGGAGTGGAGTCTTGAGGTGGGTAGAATATAGTTGTGCAATAATTGGCTGTTGATTGCTGGTGTTGACTTCTTGATGTGTAGTGCCTCGCAAACGTCAAGTCGCCTGCTATCGCTGTATCTATCGATGATTTCTGTGTTGTTTACTAGGATTTCTCTGGCGATGGTTTGGTTATGGGAAGAGATTATATGTTCCTTAATGGAGCCCTGTTGCTTATGCATCGTTAAACGCCTAGAAAGAGATGTTGTTGTCTTGCCTATATACTGGGTTTTTTGGAGCTTACAGTCCCCAAGTGGGCATTTGAAGGCATAGACGACGTTAGTCTCTTTTAAAGCGTTCTGTTTTGTGTCTGGAGAGTTTCTCATGAGTAGGCTGGCCGTTTTTCTGGTTTTATAGTAAATCGTCAGTTGTATCCTCTGATTTTTGTCTGTAGGGATAACGTTTCTATTAACAATATCTTTCAGGACCCTTTCCTCCGTTTTATGAGCTGTGGAAAAGAAGTTCCTGTAAAATAGTCTAATAGGGGGTATAGGTGTTGTGTTAGTTGTCTCTTCAGAGGTTGCATGGCTTTTCACTTTCCTTCTTATGATGTCTTCGATGAAACCATTGGAGAAGCCGTTATTGACTAGGACCTGCCTTACCCTACAGAGTTCTTCGTCGACTTGCTTCCATTCTGAGCTGTGGCTGAGAGCACGGTCGACGTATGCGTTAACAACACTCCTCTTGTACCTGTCAGGGCAGTGGTTTTTGTGGTTGGTAATATTTAGATTGTCAGTGATGTATGACAAGGCTTAAGACCCCTTGTGGTATGACAGCATTTTTCCCCAGTCATTTCTTTAACAAATGAAAGGGTCCTCATAACCATTCTTTTGTCCTTTCTACCATGTACCTGTTTGTTGCTTCTTGGTCTTTCATTTGGTACTTTGGCTATTAAAACAATGGCCTTTGGTAATGTTGCAATTACCATTTCTAAAAAAAAATGAGCAGGTTCATTAGGCAGGGTTTGTTTTTAGCAAACAAAGTTTGACAAAAAAAAATTCCATTCCTTCAAGACCTTGCAGATGTTAGGTCAAACTAACCAACAGTAATCTGTTTTGCCCTTTCAAACAATGATGGTTTTAATCTAGGTAAAATTTCAGAATATCAGAAGTTTGGCAGACAAATCATTTAAGAGCTTTGATTAAATTTAAGTTACCAAAGACTTTGTGAAAACCATGTTGTATAGATGCTTAGTGTCACTTTTCTAATGTTTTGTAAATTTAAATGACCTTTAGTTAAGTTAATCATAATTTGTACAAAGCTTAGGTGTTGCATAGCTTTAAATTTACTTTCAAATATGGAAACTAAAATATTGACTAAAGTTTCTTCCACTTTAATATTTCAGACTAATTTGCAATATTTGTTAGTTTATGTAAATTGAATAGGTAGTCCACTTTTACATCTTTTCAATGCATTTTGCATGCACCTATGTAACAAGTTACAAATAGGTGTAAATTTTACCAAGTATTTATTTTCAAAGTAAAAAAATTTCAGATGTTTAAACATTGCATCAATAGTAGTAAACAATTTCCAGCATAATTTCAGGACAAGGTATATAAAGTAGTTTCATTAAAATTGTTTTATTTAATAAGTTTTACATATAGTACTTATAATACATATAATATTTATTACTGTTTCAGGTTGTGGGACAGGTGCTCCTAGATGAACAGAAGATCCAAAAGGCCAAGACAACTCCAGAGACAATCACCTGTAAAAGAAAAATAAACATTAAACAGGGACACTACTTTTATTATCACCAATGCCTAATAATAAGCACAAAAAATCCTAACATCCTATCTTTTAAGATAGGCTCAGCAAGGCCTATCCCTTCCTCTGGTTTCAGTGCAGAGCTTGTTCCCTGAATGGGTGCATTACATCCACCACTTTAGTGCCATCAACACATGGTACATATGCTTTACTGAAAGCACTGTACAATGCATGCCAGGCACTAAAGTTTTAGATGCATCCACCCATTCAGCAAACAAGCCCTGTGAGAATTAACAATGTAACCATTGTTAAGGGTCCCTACACCTATGCAAATCTAGTCCATCTATTAGATGGGTAGTAGAGCAAAGCTCTGAAAAAGCCAAGCCAGGGAAGTCTGCAGGACTGCCTGGTCCCCTTTTATGAAATGGGGTAGGATCAGTACAAACTGCATCATCCCCTGTGGGTTGTAACAGTAGGACATGGTTACACACCTATAAATGGACTAGATACAAGAATTAAGATTAGGTCATTGATATAGCTAAAACATCAAATTCAAACTCACCCACTTTTGTAGATTTCCTTTTGCAGAGTAAAGGTGCCTCACTCCAAGCCAGTCCATGCATCATAATCACCTGAAAAATATTTCAACAAATTAATATCAGATTTAAAGCCAATCTTGCTTTACTTCACAAATTCAAATAGAACAAATTTCTTTAAGGAATTTACCTTTCCTACACATTCTAGTAGCAGTAGTAAAGATCTAATTTAGCAATATAAATATATATGGCATCAATTTGCCAAGTTTCAGTAAATGTCATTTGAGAAACTATCCACAACTGCACTTCAATGGCAAATTACATTTATCTTTAGCCAATGCTATATTGTTTAAGTTATTACTATTTTTTTTTACTTATGCAAATCTATTCAGATTAACCTACAACTCACCTGATTCTGTTTAACCGATGAACTCTTCCAACTGACAGAGGGACTTCTGGACTTTCCAAACCACATTCTGGAAAACTATATAAATTTAAAAACCAAGCTAAACTAAACATTGATTATTTTTTTTACTTTCAAGGGAAAAATACCATCTCTTAGAACAAAACTTTTCCTGCCATTAACTTTGACTCATGATGACCCTTAAGTGTTATACATTTATAGATTAAAGCTCATTTAACAAACATTTAATGTTAACTAAACAAGATTTATATTTCATTAAAAGTATTAATAAAACACCCTCAACTATGCTGTTTAAGATCTAATGCCCCACATTACAATTTTCACAATTTCAACATACCATTCTATTCAATACATTCCTGAAAGGACTAAACTTGCAGATATGGTACCCACTAGCCTAAGCCTAGACTTCCATACCCCTAATATTTAATAGGTTTTTAGCAATTAACCTGTACCCTCTAATTCCAATGTACACAACACTACTTACTGTAGATCTGCAAGTATTTTCCTGCAGCTCTTTGTTGCCAGGACCTTCCACAACCCGACTCTCAACCGTTAATCAACAGGTGTACAGGTTCCTGAGCAAAAAACAATGTTTTTTTTTTTTTACCGACGCTCTCCCTATTGATGAGAACTACAACCTAATGAAGATAAATGTTAATTTTATGTAGATACTGTAATAAACGAAAGTTTTTAAGAGAGAGTCGGGACCAAAGAACCAAAGCTCAACCCCTGCAAGCACAAATTAGGTGAGTACAACTAGGTGAATACATCTGAGGGGCGGGACCAAACAGCTGAAGCTCAATTCCCTACGCATAACTAGGCGAGTCCATAGGAATTACCGTTTGTCCTGGCGCCATCTATGTTTTGACAGCAGTACTACTAATGTTCCCACGTTATGTGATGATCGCTATACGGATGTTACGGTCAGTTGCTCTTCTATATATGTTTATGGACAACGTAGGTGATTTGAGGCAATTTGCGGCCAGAGTGAAATAGTATCCACGCGGTGAGTGATGGAGGAGGATATATACTGCTGTGTACTCGACCAGCGGGTGAGAGGTAAGTTATATCGAACAATTATGGGGAATAGATGGGTTATTTTAGGCGTTGAATGTCAGGTAACCGGTAACTACACAGATGGGGTAGTGTTTAAGTCTTTATTTACTAAAGTGGAACATTACATTATGCCTTTA